GGGGGGGGTTATGTTTTCTAGAGTGCAGAAACATTTTATTTACAATTTAAAGATGTCAATAGAAGGCTTGTTCATCCAGCCTTACATGTTGGAACCAGAGTCTGAGCCAGAACCAGAATCAGAGCCAGAACCAGACTCTGACCCAGAACCAGAGGAGAATTAACAGGAGGAAATTATAGTTGGTAAGTCCAGACCTTATACGGTAATTCTGTCTCAGATAATTTGACGTAGTAGTTCAGAAAAGGGGGGGGGGGGGAGAGACTGAACGAGCTGAAAAATCTGACCCAAACAGAATCTAAAGATATCTCTGAAGTACCAGGAGAGACTAAATTCAACTTTTCTGCCGCATGGAGACTCCAGATCCACAACAAAATGCATTTAACAGATAAAACAGTGGATTTTGCATCATGTCCCCTTTAAAACAGATTAATTAGAGCCATTTGGAATTATCTGTGGAAGCCATCTTGAATTTGAGTGTTTTTTTTTATTTGTATGTGCCCCTCTAAAAAAAACACCCTTTACCAAAAAAAACGAAAGCCTAGCTCCGCCCCTGAGTGAGTCCACAGTTCTGCCAAGAAGAGCAGAGAGGAAATCTTCACATGTATAATAACCATATAAGACCTTTTGAAGATCTTTGAGTTTATAATATAAAATATGTCTACCCATCCTCTCACCTGCTCTCTCCTGAGGTCATTAGTTGTCTAAATCATAATTTCTGAATTATTATGCAGTCTAACTAGTCAACAATCCAATAAAGTCCATATTTTATACCTTTAATTTCACTAAATAATATATTTGACAACATAAAATCAATTCTGAAGCTTTTTAATGTTAGCGTACAGGTTTTATAATTAAAATAATCAATTTTGGTTACATATGTGTAATATTTACCTGTAAAACATAACCCTTTTAGCTCTTGTAAATGTGTTGTAACAATTTCTGCAGTTTATAGCAAAGTATTTGTACATTTGTGTGTTTATAAAGCGTTTGTTTGCACCGCGCTACGTTCTCCTCATGGATTTCAGTGGTTAGCGTTAGCATTAGCTCAATGCATAAAAATTCTCCTTGCGAAGCACGCGCAGGTCATGTGACGCCCAATCCAGTGATATATATATCAATGGGCGGGGCAGATCCTGGACAGGTTGTAACATCACAAAATGTTAACCTTTAAAATAAATAAAAACTTGTTCTCATGCAGCAAACAGAAGCTTGTCTGAAGCTTCAGATGTTGCAGCACCAGTTTAAATATTAGTGATAAATATGAAAACAGTATTTTAGTGCTTTAATCCCACTTCTGTCTGTTCCTTTTTTCTTTACCATCTTTTCCTTGTGACTCCATCCTTCATCCCACCTCACGCCTGCTTCCCTCATCCTCTGTTTACAGCACAAGCTTCCCTCTACAGAGGACATTTTTAATAGTCTGCTGCGTCTAGCCTCAAACAATGCTGGAGAACCTGGGGGTGGCTGAGCGAATAAAGAAGATGAGCTCGAGCAGAGGAGACGGGAGTGGGGGGAACAGATGGGGGCGGGGGGGGGGTAATGAGATAGAAAAATGTTGGGAGAAAAAGGTGGATTTGTTATTCTTACAGGGTGTTGCACAGACGCAGAGACAGACATTACCTCACACAGCTGCTGCAGCGAGCCCATGGGGTGACAACGTGTGTGTGTGTGTGTGTGTGTGTGTGTGTGCATGCAGCCAGACAGGCACTTTTATGTAATATCCTGAAGCAGAGGTTTTAGTCAGATGTCAGGACTTTTTAAATTCCCTTCTCTCGGGGAAAAGAAGCTGAAGTTTGTCATGACACGGGTTGTGTTTTCATGGCTTTTCAATCAGCAGCTTAGAAATTAATTTACGTTAAAACAAACATTAACACCAAACAAAACATCAACCCAAAACAGACTGAAGGTTTCAGAGGATGAGCTTTGAGACATCACGAAACAAAAACTGTTGTTTTATTTAAAAACTGTCAAGTAATCTAGTTTCTTCCTGATGCTGACTGACAGGTTCAGATCCAACATGAAGCCTTGTTGCTGAAAAAACAAAAAGCTGAGGATCAGAATCTGAGAGGTTCAGACTGATCTGCATCTCTGGTGACTCAGGTCTTATATCTCAGATCTTAAGTCTCAGATCTGATGCCTTAGGTCTTAAGTCTCAGGTCTTATGTCTCAGGTCTTATGTCTCAGGTCTGATGCCTCAGGTCTTATGTCTCAGTTCTGGTGTCTCAGGTCTTATGTCTCAGGTCTGGTGTCTCAGGTCTTAAGTCTTAGGTCTTATATCTCAGGTCTGATGTCTCAGGTCTGATGTCTCAGGTCTGATGCCTCAGGTCTGGTGTTTCAGGTCTGGTGTCTCAGGTCTTAAGTCTTAGGTCTTAAGTCTTAGGTCTTATGTCTCAGGTCTGGTGTCTCAGGTCTGATGTCTCAGGTCTGATGCCTCAGGTCTTATGTCTCAGGTCTGATGCCTCAGGTCTTATGTCATAGGTCTTATGTCTCAGGTCTGATGCCTCAGGTCTGATGTCTCAGGTCTGATGTCTCAGGTCTGATATCTCAGGTCTTATGTCTCAGGTCTTAAGTCTCTGATCTGATGCCTTAGGCCTTAAGTCTCAGGTCTGATGTCTCAGGTCTGGTGCCTCAGGTCTTATGTCTCAGGTCTTATGCCTCAGGTCTGGTGCCTCAGGTCTTATGTCTCAGGTCTGGTGCCTCAGGTCTTATGTCTCAGGTCTTATGCCTCAGGTCTGGTGTCTCAGGTCTGGTGTCTCAGGTCTGGTGTCTCAGGTCTGGTGTCTCAGGTCTTATGTCTCAGGTCTGGTGTCTCAGGTCTGATGTCTCAGGTCTGATGTCTCAGGTCTGATGCCTCAGGTCTGATGTCTCAGGTCTGATGCCTCAGGTCTTATGTCTCAGGTCTGATGCCTCAGATCTTATGTCTCAGGTCTGATGCCTCAGGTCTTATGTCTCAGGTCTGATGCCTCAGGTCTTAAGCCTCAGGTCTTAAGCCTCAGGTCTTAAGCCTCAGGTCTTAAGTCTCAGGTCTTAAGCCTCAGGTCTTATGTCTCAGGTCTTAAGTCTCAGGTCTTAAGCCTCAGGTCTTATGTCTCAGGTCTTAAGCCTCAGGTCTTAAGCCTCAGGTCTTAAGCCTCAGGTCTTAAGCCTCAGGTCTTAAGCCTCAGGTCTTATGTCTCAGGTCTTTGTCTCAGTCTCAGTTGATTATGAATCTCAAGTCTCTCAATGTTTTGAGTTTTGTGATGATTAAGAGTCTTTATGTGGAGAAATGTAAATAAATTAATATTTTTATTTGCAGCTTCATGTATGAAAAACTCAGTGCTCATAAATCATCATCTATAGAAGCTGCAGGTTCAATAACCCAGACTAAAGTGGTGTTTGATGAGCTGCTGAATGTTGCTCTTCTGGTCCAACAGTCTGATTTGTTCGACGTTGTTGTTTCAGACGGGCAACAAGCTTTAAGACGGTTACGCAACAACAACAACAACAACAACAACCGGACCGGTCCTTAAGCTGTAAGTGAGACAATCAGCTCAACATGTTTATTGGATCACGGCCATCAGCTCACGACGCAGAAACACAAGTTACATCAGGACTGGTGCTTTAACTTTAATACACTTCACCCACAACAGAAAAAACATGTTTATGTTTGTGAGGTCCAACTGATTTAAACAGCTGGGTCAAATTAAAAAATACACCAAAAACAACAAGACTTCTGCTTAAATGTTTTCTCTACCAACAACTTTAAAAGTGATGAAACTTCTGTTCACAAGTTCTTAGGATTTTTTTATAGTCTTATACCTTTTACTGAAGTGCATCTGTCCTTCAAATTTGTTCGGATTTTCGGTTTAACAAACATTTGTAATCCCTTCAAATTATAACAGCTTTCCCTCTTACCAAAATTTGATTGGATGTTTGAAGGTAACACATTTTTATGAGCTTCACCAACAACTTTAAAAGTGATGAAACTTCAGCTTTTATTAAAGTAAACAACAATAATTTAAATAAATAACAAATAATATAATTAGACTTGATGTATTGCATTTAGAATAATCTAAAAGTGAAACTTATCAGTGGAAAATGATACTGTATTTTACTAAAAAACAATTAGTAGCACAACAACAACTACTACTACTACTACTAATAATAATAATAATAATAAGCAACTTCCATACTGTGCAACTTTTCACCACAGCTAATCAACAACAAACAAAACAAAAATGACTGCAGAAATTCAGCCAAAATTCGATGTATTTGCAGCAAAGAGTCAATTTCAGCACAAACACCAAGCAGTAACTAATACTTTATCCTTTTTTATTTTACTTTGGCATCAAAAATAAAGAATATGCATCATCAAGGAAGAATCCTATTAAATTTTGATTTATTTCCACACATTTTTACCTATAAATTGGTTGTATTTTATGATTTAGGCATCATTTTTGCTCATTGTTCTGTCTTTATATATATTTTTATAATAGGTTAAAATTTTCTTTATTTTCAAGATGGCTTCAGTGACATCAAATATTTAATTTTGCTTACTAGAAACAAAGTTTAGAAAAAGTTCCTGAGCATGAAGTTGAGCCATAACTGTAAAACCTGACCTGAACCCTAATCCTGATTGTGCCTTTCAGCCTAAACTCTAATCCCAAGCCCCCTGCAGACACGAAGCCCGGTGGGTGCAGCAGTTTTACACTCTCACGTTTCAGTTCACCTCAGGACGTTTGGTTCCCACAGAGGTGGAAGCGCAGGAACACACACACACACACACAGCCGTCAACACACACACATGTTCATAATGCATTCACGGAAGAGCGGGATTGCCCGAGACGGCTGGTTTTCAGAACAGGGCTAAAGTCAGATTAGTGCTAGTCTGTCTGTCTGCTTTCACGGAGTAACATGCTTAATCCCTGCTTAATCTGGCTGCAATAGGATTGGCCGCTGCCTAAGACTACCCTCAGACTAACTGCACACCTGGGTCAGGATGCAGGGACAGGGTGTCTAAGGATACAAAAAAAATAAGAAATAAATTAGGATTAACAGAAGAGCTGAACTGGAAGAGGAGGAAGAGGAGACGTTACACAAAGACAAATAAAACATTTGAGAAAGAAGAGATGTTTACTCAGCTAACTGATGCAATCACTTCTGCACACATGTGACAAAATGAAGCGTCTGCCCCATGACTGTAACTGTCACAGATAAACAACAGAGCCTTCACAGAAACGTCTGCAGCAGACAAACGCCGCTGCAGTCCTCGGTGAGAGCAAAATGCATTTTTATCCTGAAATAGTTCAAAACACCAAATGTCCAACAATGGCTAAAGAAGCTGGAGCTGCTTCACCTGAGCAGAACGCTGCATGGATCTGATTGTGCAAACGTGTCACAATGTTGGCTGTAAAAAGCCATCTGCTGTCTTTTACTATTAAATATTATGTATTCATTTATACTTTGGACAACAAAAAACAGAATAACTGCATTTAAATGAAATTAGACATGATATTATTACATTATTACATACATAGTGTGTAATGATCCATACATAGTGTGTATTGTTCCGTACAGTGTGTATTGTTCCATAGTGTGTATTGATCCATCCACAGTGTGTAATGATCCATACATAGTGTGTATTGTTCCGTACATAGTGTGTATTGTTCCATAGTGTGTATTGATCCATACACAGTGTGTAATGATCCATACATAGTGTGTATTGTTCCGTACATAGTGTGTATTGTTCCATAGTGTGTATTGATCCATACACAGTGTGT